AGAACTGCCCAGACTGATGTCACCAGGAACAGAGAGATCTGGTTCCAACATGCCCTGCCCAAACTGAAGAATCACAAGCAAATAAAGGAAAGCATTTTTTATTTAAGGCACTAGGTTTTAAGGTAATTTGTTATACAGCAATAGATAATTAAAATGAGGTGCAGAGTGGAAAAGATACTTTCCTCCTGGGATCTTTTTTTTTTTCTTTCTAAAAACCTAAGCTCTGAGGAGAGGGCAGGTTTGGAGAGGGGGTAAAATTGAGAAAAGGACTTACAGGCAGTGAGAGTGAGTACCTTGGAGAAAGATAAAGAGAAAAGGATTTTCTCCAGATTAAAAAAGAGATTCCCTCCAGGCTGGTAAGAAGAGATGGTACTCCCTAGTCTTCTAAATAGCTACATAGTACAAGATGGGATCAGCTTTGCAATGATCCCAAGCCCCAGGTGTCACAAAAGCAACAGGAAGCCACCAGATCTAAAAAGGCCACAGGATGAGCCTCTCTTTCTACCACCCAGAGCTGGGAACTTGTTAAAATTGGAAACAGAATAAATCCAAGATGTTCTTTACCTGTCTGGTAGATTGGGCTTAGAATCATAAACTGTACTACAGAAAGTGTTTTAGCTGGCAAAGTGTGAACTCAAATCACTGAAATTGTCCTTACCTTTCCAGAAAGACATATATATATACCTTTAAACAAAACTGAGAAGACAGGAATATTTAAAATATCACTTTCCTTATAATTTATTATCTATATATTTTTATTTGGGGGGGAATTTCATCTCATCAGCAAATCCTAACGAGACTGCACCTCCACCCTTCTTTTTGCCAGCTATCATCTTTCTGTAATGCTTTCAAACTGGCCTCATCACAGTATACAGAGAGCACTATCCTCCTAATTGGCGAGGATGGGCTTCCCTCTGTTATGGGAGGGGACCACTCAGAGCTTTGACAGACACTTGCACAGTGGAGCTTTTTCTTTTGAAATTTTATTGACAGCCAAGAAACCACACTTTCCTATTAGAGATACCTAAAAAAGAGAACCGAGCTTCGGTTCTCAACTGCCTCAGCTGCCAGCCCGGTGAGGGGGACCATCATGGACAGTCAGCCCAGTCAAGCTGCTAGATGACTGCTGCTGTATAATGGGATCTCACGTAAGACCAGCAGGACTGTCCCATTACATTCAGCTCAAATTAAAGAATTTTGAACAAATAAACGGTTCTTCTTTGAAGCCACTGTGTTTTTTAAAATATAAAATGATTTACTGACCACTGTTCACTGATATTTACAATAAAATGAGGAATATTCAGTTGGACAACATTATGATTACTACAAAGTTAACTGTCTTTCCTGACTTCTGCTGACCAATACATATAAAGCCTACATATAAAGAATGGGTAAAGAAAAAACATGCAGATTGTGTTTCGATTGTTAAAATTTTGTTCACCCAATTTTTGTTAACACATCCTAACCCACAAATGATCTGGTTTCATGAGCAAAGACATTCCATCAATCACGATCTTCTAGTCAACATAGCACAAGTATTTCAGCATTTCATAAAGGAAGGTTCCCTAGAAGGAACTTTAAATGCACATTTAACTAAGCCTTGTTGGGCTAATTAAAACACTATTATTTGTTTAGTTTCCTCTTCTAACTGGGAAAATTATTGATAATGATACAATTTTTCCTTTCCAGGGAGTTTTACAAATAAACCATTGCATTTATATAACTATAGTTACAGATAAAATTTTGGAGAGTCTGCTTTAAATCGTCCCACTTAAATTATTTATACTTAAGTTGTCCAATTAATTACAGAATCATCTATTTGATTTGAGAGGTTATGGCTTCAGGAAAATTTTCAGTTTAACTTGAGGTGACCTATGTCCTGAATTTCTCAGAATGATGGCATCCCAGAAACATGGACTTGCTTATGATTGTGAAATGCTATTTTTGGTAAATGTAAAAAAAAAAAAAAACCAAACCCACAACCACCACCATTTACACGTGTATTTACATATACACAACAAAAACACATTAAAAAATATCCAGACTAGTCCTTAGTCATTATAGGTTAAGCTTAAACATGAGTTCTGATTGAATAAAGAATATGGAACATTCAGAAAAGTTGCTCTTTAATGCAGAGAAAAATAATATTCTGGAACATCAAGTGCTCTCTTTCTTATAAAGGAACCTACTCCAGTAAGCTTTTATTTGTTCAAAATAACTAGTGTTATTAATGCAAAAACCAACACAAACCAATAATTCCCTCACTACTACTCTAAAAGGAAAGTACCAAACTTCATTTTCATTAGTAATTCTTTCATTCTTCACAGTAATAAGTCATAAAATCAGGACCCAGGTTTTTATACATATATAAACAATTATTGAGCATTATCTGGACAAGAGTGCCAAGTTTGTTTCTCTTTATAAAAGGCAATCACAATTTGAGGACACTCATGTTTGCCTCTTTTGCCAGCACTTGAGGACACTCAAGTCTGTCTCTCCTGCATCTTTCCATTTCATAAGAAGCATTAATTCTCCACTGCTGTCTGTAACACTGATTATTCATTCAGGATTAACACTGCTGGCAAAATGTCTTGGTTTGTCAGCAGCATCTCTTCTTTGAGTTGCTGTCATCAGATTCACTCTAAGATAAAGCTTTTCTTTTTGAACTAACTTTTTCTTTCCCGGCGTTTTGGAAATTAAGAAATACTTCAATTAACACTGGATAATCTAAGTTTTCTTCATGTTTTCAAGTATTGTCAGCATCTGTCTCTTCCACTTAAATACTCCACCTTCCCTTTCACTACTTATCAGTCCATACCTTTTCCAACACCAAATCTTTAAGCTCTGCTCTTTGACTTTTTTACTCTTTCCATTCTGTTTATTTTCCATTTTGTGCAAAGTGGTTTTACTGGAGGCCGCTTTCAACTGTGGACTTGAAGAGCTCCTCCAATGTGGATCTTCGGCATCTCAGATTATGGGGGCCATACCCCAAGTGGAAGACCAGGCAAAGCCATGCAAGTGGCCACTAAGTTTTGGGGTTTTATGTAGCAACAGGTAACTAAAATAGGGACACTTAAATATTTATGCTGTATATGAGAAGATGGCTAATGGAAATAAAAATTGGGAGTCAGTTGAAGAGAACTAATTGTGGTACTGAGCCACTTCAAACTCATTAATTTGTGAGGAAAATTAAAGATCAAGTTTCTTGAAAAAGTTGAGTTTCTCTCTAAGAATGAAAGTGAAGAAATGGTTCCCAGGCTGTTCAGACTGTCACATAAAACACTGTGTTAGACTTCACCTCTTGAAAAGAAGACACATCAGTGTTTCCACTAGTAGTTGCCCATTACATTGCAGTGCACATCACTGGCAGTTTTGGATCTCCTCTTAGCAATTATTCTGAAATCCCTTCTAAAGACAAGAGTTTCTGTTGGTATCTATGTATAATTTGGTGTAACAGAGAAATAAATTGCTCTGATGATGAACTTCTGGCCCTCGTTCCAATGTGATGACTTAGGCAATTCATTTTATCCATTAATTAATAATTAGAAAAATAATCTGTATTTTTCTTGAGTCATTTAAATCAAACACTATTACAGTATAGAAGAGAACGAAAAGTTCACATGGATCTGAAAGGTAGAACAGGAGAAGTCAAAGGAATGCAATTGGAGCTGGGTGCTACTTTGGTCTCCACCTTCCCCCACCTCTCCCTTCAGGAACAAGAACCGCATTCGGCCACAACTTGCCTTTTACCAATTCTATCTTCCACCATCTAGTGCTCCACTGTCCCCACTTCCAGCTCTTCGATTTATGGTCCCTAAATACACGTCTTAACACTTTGGTTTGATTTATGGTCCCTAAATACACATGTCTTAACACTTTGGTTCCAACTGTGTCTTCTATAGTATCTTTTATGTCTAGCCAACCACACACCCACACACACAGTCACGTATGCGCGCGCCTACAATTCTGGAACATCTTTATACGGACGAACGAATCTAATTTCTAACATACACCAACGAAAACAGTCTATCCCTTGGGCTTAGTGAATTTGCATGTCGCTCGCAAGTACAAAATTCTCGCTAAATATTTTTAAGAGTTGGAGAGTAAATGACAATCCTGGCGCTCCAACAATGACAATACCGTTTGTTGCCCAGTTAGGGCACTACACGCCCTCTGTAAAGATATTTGATTAAATGCAATAAAGCCTTTTAGAAGGCGGGCTGTATGTTATGCATTTTGCAAACATTATCTAACTTAATCCTAGTAACTCTCTGGCGTAGGTGTTCTCATTCACAATTTTGAGAAAGATGACGGCGGCGGTGCGGCGAGGCCTGTGGTGCTAAGGGTCCGTCCCAGGCGCTGTGGCGCGCTCGGCGCTCCACGACCCTCGGAGGCCGCCGTGACGCCACGGAACCCCGGCCGAGGCTCTCGGGGTGGGGGGACAAGCTTTGTCTCGGTGTCCCTCACTGTCGCCCTCATAGAACCCCTGGGAAAAGAGGCGGAAAAGGCGGCGCATACTCTCCAGGCGACTGTCTCCTCCACGTGGGGACGCACGTGTTCGCTGTGGAGTAAATTTCACCCGCGATGCCCGCGGGCCAGCGGCATCCCCCCGCCGTTCCGGCGACCCGGCCGCGTGGGGCGCCGCCGACGCTTGGGCACTGGCGCCCGGGACCTCGAGGGCAGGCGGGCCCAGTCGGAATCATGGCCAGGTGGGAAGGTACCGGGACCCGCTCCACCAGGAGATAACCAGGCCGCGGAAGACAACCGCCGCTCCGGCGACTGGCTCCCCCGCCTCAGCCCGGGGTCGCCCTTCAGAGCGCAGGCGCCCGCGAAGAGGCGCGCGGCCGTCCGACTCGGCGAAGGCGCGGGCAAAGGGGGCGGGGCAGGCCCCGCGCGCCGCAGCACCGCCCCTGCCCGCGCAGCCTACCGGATTCGCCCCGCCTCCTGCGCGCCGCGGCGGCCCCTCTTCCTCCTGCGCTATAGTCCGGGCGGCGGCCCTGGTCGCGGCGAGGCTCGCGTGGTCTGCGGCGGGCACGGGTCCGAACCCGAGGGGGAGCGCGCCGCGCGCCCCCTGCGTCCCAGGAGCGGCGGGCCGCGGAAGTGACGTGCTGCACGAGCGAGAGTTCGTTTGAATCGGTTCCCGGGTGATCCCGCGCCTGCCGTGCTCGGCCACCGCCGCCGCGGCCGAGGGAGGGGCTGCAGCGCGTCGGGGTTGAGGCCTCGCGTCGCCCTGGGCACCAGAACCGAAGGCGCAGTGCGGAGCCCGCACCTCGGTCCTGAGCGTGGCGGCGGCAGGCGCCGTCGCTGCTGATTCTTTTCCCTTCCCCAATATGGCAGCCGCGGACGACGACGGCGCCTCGGTGGGGACTGGAGAGGGCTGCGGAGACGGCGACGGCTGCAGAACAGTGTACTTGTTTGACCGGCGCGAGAAAGAGTCAGAGCTCGGGGACCGTGCTGTGCAGGTCGAGGAGCGCTCGGATTACGCGGCGTTCCGCGCCTCCGTCTGTCAGGTGCGCGGAGGGCCGGAGGAGGGATGTGCGGGTGCAGTTTGGAGTGGGAGGGTGACGGAGAAACCCAAGTTGCTCACCGAGGGCAATAAAGCTGTCACTCGGCCCTGAACCCGCGCGGCCTTGGCTTCTCTCTCCCGGGGCCGCCATACCCGCGGCCGGCCGGCCGGAAGCCCAGGGTCGGCCCCAGTCCCCGGCCTGGGGTGCAAAGCGCGCCCCTCCGTGGGCCGCTTTCGGCCCCGGCCCTTCTTCAGGGGGGACTCGCCGCCAATGGTTTGATACCAGGTTTGATTGGCCTGTGGCGACCTTAGTACCCAAAGGCCTTAGAGCTCATCTACCAAGCAGGGAACGCCACTGGTCTTTCGTGTGGAACTTTTTTTTTAAAAAAGAAGAAAGCAGAGTTATATCCGATGGCTCTGTTAGGAGTCTAACTCTGTTAGAAGTTCTGGAATCGCTGGAGTCGATTTACCAGGTTCATTAAATGATGTGCAGTAATTTCTCGAGTGGTCCTGTCAAGGTGGTTTGCAGGCCCGCCCCGGCAGGGTCCTTCCGTAGTGGAAACACTTGTCCAGGTCAGCTTCGCAGGTGAGGCTTCGTTTCTGATCTTCTGAACCCTAGCCCTTGGGAGTTCCAAAACTAACTCGAAAGGTGTCCATGGGTAGCTGCGGGACGCCGAAGTAGGGCGTATAGCTGTATATGCCTGCCCTAGTGTTTGCTTTAAAATAACTGATTATGTAGAAAAGCCTACTTTAAACTGTCAAGTTTTTTGTACATGCGAGGTGATGGTGCCTGAGCTTTAAAGAAGGAATATTGTCATGCTCTTCGTTAACCACGTGAGGTGCTTTTTCAGCTATAAAGAACACTTAGCTTCCAAAGAAGAAGAATTTTGTGTGGTGCAGTGTTGTAACTTGATTATAGTACTCTTTCTGGAGGCATAGTTCTGTATGGTTGCTGAAATAATAGAAATCAAGATCCATAGAATAAAAGCAGCTTGAAAGCAAGGACTTTAATTTGTTCACAGCTGTATTTCCCGTGTCCAGAACTGTGCCTCGCACATCGTAAACGTCCAAATCAGAATGTATATTTTAATGAAAACAAAAATCTATAACTTGCAGGTTCATTCTGTTTAATTCTGTGCCTGGCTATCACCGGTTCCCATGTGTTTGAAAAGTGAAGAATGAATGCTCATCTTTTTTGATGAATGTTTGTATTCAAAACCATCCAGCAGAAAGGAAACTTTTTCATTGTAACAACAGCAGCACATTAAAGAAAATATGGAACCAGAAAGAAGAAAAATGAACTTTTACTCACTAAAGTTTAGAACCATTGTTAGCACTTAGGGTTCTTTTTTTGTATCCTTACCCCTCATTTTTCAGAAGAGCTGTACTACATGTTTTTACTACATGTTTCTATTCTGTATTTTTCACTTAATTTTATCCGTATTTTTCTATTTTAGTGCAAGTCTTTATAATCACAGTTTGAAATGGTCTGTTTAGTACCGCTGTTTATGTAACCAAATCTTTTTGGTGACATTTACATTACTTTCAATTTTAAGCAGTTCAGTGATAAACAACTTTGAATGCATAGTCTTTTATGCCTTTATTATTATTTTTTAGTTTATCAGTGAAAGTCATGGGTCAAAGGTTAGGAACATTTTTAAAGCTCTTGATATGTATACTTAAATTGCCTTTCCAATACGTTTTACTAATTCACCTTGCCTCTGAAAATACATTTTCTTGTGAGAAGTTTCAGTATCTGTGTGAGATGGGGAAGTAGTAGCCTCTTGCTGCAGAAGTGGAAACTCATATTTTGGAGATGGTGACTCACTCAAGTCAGATAGTAGTCAAATTAGGATTCAAACTCAGAACCCATACTCTTCTGTTAACACCACTCTGCCTTAAATGAAGTTCTTTGTTGCAGGGAACAGATATTTATTGAATTACTTCAATATTTTGCCCTGAAAAGCTAAGGAAAATATTTTTTTGACTGATTCTTTTCTCACTTTTTTGCTGGAACAGGTAAATGTTAAATTTGATTAAGGAGTGAGAGGGAAGAACTAGTAAGAAAAAGGAAGGCTAAGATTTTGAAGATTGTATTTAAAAAATACAAAACTCTAGTGTTGACACAATTTACTAAAGCCTTCATTTTCCTTGTTAGGGGAGGATGCAAAATGGTATACTAAATTAAAGTTTTTCATTAAAGTTTAAATTCAGTAAGTTTTTGTAGTGCTATAACGTATGGATCCTAAACTGGGGGGAAGCTCACCCTGTGGAAAAAAGGAATCAAGAAGGAAGAAGAAAGGGTAGATCTGGAAGAATCCCTTAGACTTGTGATAACAGCTTTTGACTTAACCTGAGCCATTGGGCTTTGCAGAATCAAAGGTTAGAAAATGAGTGATTTGGCTAGTTCTTAAGCCCAGACATTACATCTCATGTATTTAAACCACCCCCCAACCCCAATTACTTTTTCCTTTGTGTGGTTCCACTAAACCTTGTACCCTACTGTGGCACTTGTTAAACCATTGTACATTTTTTTGTATGCTCTTTGAGGTCAAGAGCCTTACCAAATAGTTTATAGCTGTTTCATTAAATGAATCCATCTCTTCCTTCAGAAAAATATTTGTACATAGGATACGTATGTTAGAAATCCCAAAAGAAGAAAAGTAAAAGAAGACAGATATAGGAAAGAATAGAATAGTAACCTGGAGAGAGTTATTAATAAATGGAAGTTCATTTGATAATATCCAGTACCAGTGCTGAGCCATGAAATTAGCTTTGTGTGTCTTAGAGGCGAAAACAAAAGAGGAAAGATAATTGATACAAAATCCATAGTGTGTGTAAAATAAAAACATTCCAACGGCTAGGGAAGCAAAGCTTTAATTTGAGAAGTATTTCTCCCTAGATTTCTCACAAATCTGATAAAATGGACAGTGTCCGTACAGATAGAAACGGGTGCTTCGCTTATCTTTTCCTTTAATGCAAAGTAGGATGTTTGTTATTTAGAGTAATGCATGCTGCTTTAACTAGTAACCACCCAAGTTTTTGTAGAGATTATTCACTCAAGTGCATTATGGGTGTTTCTGGTCTGTGGGTGATTCAAGGACAGAGCCACGGACATGCCAAAGCACAAATCATTATAGGCTAATTAGCACAGTTTCAGAGTGATGCATTGAAGTATATAGTGTCTGACTGACTTAATCCATGGATGAAATATAAAGTATTTAAAGATTTTATGGACTGCAAATTAGCCCTTCGTAAATATTTCTTAAAACTGACTTTTGAGAGAAGTTGGGCAGCAGGTAGTTTCAAACTGATCTGAAGAGAGGGCAGTTACTTCGTATTTCCCATTCATTAAAGGCAGCTCCATCTGCTTTAGTAATAAACCCAGATTAAGGTGGAATTGTACTGCTTGTATAAAAAGAAAAAGCCTACTCAAGACTCTTGCCCAAATAGAATGTTATCCTGCTTTAATATAGAGAAAGACAGAAGTATATCTGTATTCAAGGCCAGGATAGTACAAATACATGAAAGACTTTAGTCTCTGCCTAGGATTTTAGACTAAAAATATAGAGCATGACATTCTGAATAAAAGCATATGAATAATGTAAAAATATTTAAGTTTGTAAACTATCAGAACTATAAAATATTTAGAAAATTATAATTCAAGAAAAAATTTTTATACAGAAACTAGGTAAAGGTAGCTTATGTATCTTAATAGAAGTATGGAGAGATGGGAATAGTTACATGTACACACTTCAGATGTACACAGATTCTAAAAATTCAGTTTGGCACATTTATTTTCACTAATTATAAACACAAAGTATGTTCTACAGGATGCATAAGCACATGATCTAACTTGGGACGTTGTAGAAATGAAGTAGTAAGGAACTAAACAATAAAAATGGGTCATAATTACCCAGAAGCTAATAAAGATCTGTAAAGACAATTTTTTATTTCTGTTAAACAAAATCTTATTTCTCATCAGTTTATGTCCACAGCTTCACTTCTGTAGGGTGGAATTGCATAGGATATCAGTATCTTTTATTTTACTAAGTATGCCAAATTGCTTTTCAATATGATTTACTGATTTTCAGTCCTATCAGCAATGTTTATGGTCCAATTTTCTTATATGGAGTCCTGTAATTTATATTATCAGGGCTTAACATTTTTGCCACCCTTGTGGTAATCATAATCTTGTTTTAATTTCTCTTATAACTAGTGAGGATGAGCATATTTTCAGGTTTCCTAGTTTCTTAAACCCTTATGGTTTTGTGTATTTTCAGAAATCCTTTTCTCTGTCCTCTCAAAATTATTCTCCTGTGTTTGCTTCTAAAATTTTGGATATACAGCTGCTTTAATTCTCTTAGAATTTTTTTTCTGTGTATGTTGAGATGGGAATTTTATTTATTTCTTTGCAGTTAACTAGTCTCAATATCATTCATTTATTATTATTATTATTCTTTCCCCACCAATTTGTAATGTCACCTCTCCTGTTGTCCAAACTTCCATGTATGTATGTGTGGAACTCTTTCAGTGTCCTCTGTTCTCGTCCACTGGTATGTTGTAGTGTATTTTACATTAGAAATTTTTCTTACAAAAGCATTAAACATATACTGATCACTCAGATTAACAGTTACCAAGTGCTAAACACTCTAGCATCATTTTTGTCTTTTGTAGCACATGTAGGTTATAGTCCACTTTGCTCCTATGTATTTCAGCATGCATTTGTATGATCATACCATCAAAACAAACATTTTTAATATTACCTAATTGCTCAGTCCATATTCAGATTTCTCTGATTGAAAAGCCTCTTTTTTGAGTTGGTTTGTTTAAAGCAGGATTCCAACAGGGTTCTCATATTGAACTTGGTTATTTATATTTCTTAACTCTAATAAAATTTAGAGCATTTGAGCAAAACTCTTTTTGCAGTCTCTTTAGTTTTACCTGACATTGATCTCTTAAAAGAATCAAATAGGTTTTTCTTTAATATTCTCTATTTGTCTGTGCTCATTGTGGTATAATTTAACTTGTTCTATCTCTACATATCCTTTCAGCTAGATGTTATTTTTAAAGGCTTGTAATTAAAATTTAGTTCCAACATCTTTGGGATGCAGAGGCAAAGAATATCTCATAGGTGGAGCTGGTACTTCATGTTATGTCATGTCCCGAGGCACATGATACAAGACCATATTAGTGTGATTCAGGTTTCAGCTTTATCCTTTCATAATAAAGTTTGATCTGATAGTTCATCATTGATGGTGATATTCTGATTGCCATCCCTTTTGTATAGCTGGAATTTTTTAAAGCACAACTTCACCTCATCAACTTAGAACTATTTGCCTACCCTGAAATAGGATTGGTACAAGAATGCAGGAAAAATGCTTTATTCTTTTCCTTTAATCCGTAAGTACCCGTAAAGAGTACTTTAATCCGTAAAGAGTAAGAAGTTGATATCTTAATCAGTTTCAGTTGTGACCAGTAAGGCTTTTAGTAACACTGGAAGATATGAGTATCATTAGTCTAGATTTTCTTTAGATGTCTTCAGTGGTAAGATTGGTCTAGGTTAACTGGTTCATCATTACCTGAAGCAGAAGTCAGCCTTTTATCTTAACTGTATATTGTTGTAGTCCATAATTTTAGAATGTGTCTCTTAATTTTAAAAATGTATAAAATTTTAATGACAGTGTTAACTCATTTTTTAAATTCTCATTTTTTTCATTAGTTGTTAAATTTCATTTTTTCTTGGTTCATCGTTTATTTGTATTTTTTCCTTTTGATCATGTCTTTTCACTCTTCTCTTTGTTGGTCTTCATCTTGATATATAAAGGATTTTTGTCCCCTAAGGATGCTAACTGTCTCCTATTGGAATTTCCTCCCATAATTTATAATTGGACTTAATTTTATATACTTAGTGGGTATAAAGATTCTTTAATACAGATATGTTGTATAAACATGGCTATCCTTGTCAGTATTTTAATATTAGCCTCTATTTTTTTTCTAAGACTTTTGTTTATATGTATTTAAATATTTAAGCTGTAGGAACGTAAGCATTATGTTAATGCTTTGCTCCAAATAAGTTTGTTTATATACTGACATGAAATAACATGGCTTTTGTCTGGGAGGGTCCTGCTGATGTTAAAAATCCTTTCAAAATGTCTCGCCTGATCACTCATGTTCTTAGGTGGCCTATGTGCCACAAGGAGACAAAATAACCTTGTTAGGCAGATAGGTAACTCACAGATTGACTTGAGCTTAATTAATTATGCAAAGGCAAAAATTGAAAATATCAAGATATTTCTTAGGCAAATAAATAGAGTAATTGTTATCAAATTATGGTATACTATGGGTATTTTCTTGTTCTTATAAACTCGAATAGTGCATTTATTTCCTTTGTGTCATAGTTGATTTTATTCCTCTTATTTTGGATAGACGCTTGGCATTCTACCTGAAGAGAAGTTTGTTATTACAACAACAAGTAGGAAAGAAATTACCTGTGATAATTTCGGTGAGCAAACAATGTTAACTTAAGTTCATGCTTTTATATTTAGTATGTTCTAGTATTCATAGGGCAATACGTATTTTATTACAAAGATAAGCATCTAAAACTTTTGATGATTTTGGTTACTTTGTTGAAATGGGGGAGGAAACTGGTTATATGTTTGTGTACAGATTGTGCAAAAATCATATTTTCCAAGCAAGTTTATAGAAAAAAAGTTCTCAGTATGGCTACAGAAGATAGGATCTTGCCCAACATCTAGCCACAGGTCTTCAAGTGGGCCTCAAAAAGCTAATTCTCTTAACCAACTTGGATTTTTCTGTTACTTTTTTATCCAATTAGATTCTAAGACCTGCCAGTTTTTCCTACTGATTCCTTTTAAATTTAGCCATTCTTCTCCATTCATATTAATACCACTGTAATGTAGGTTTCCCGTGGTAGTGAGCTTACCAAGAATTGAGTGTTTCAGATGAGTGGAACTCATTTGGGCCTATTTTACTGATACCAAGTATCAGTAAACAAGTAACAAAACACAGGTGAATTTATAGATAGATCCATTGTTTGGGGGTTTGTCTGTAACATCTTTAAAGATATTTTAAAGGTACAGTTTGTATATTCAGAATTATAAATTTATTGTTTTTCTGACACTAGCCTAGCACTTGAGATATTGCCTCTTGATTACAGATGAAACTATTAAAGATGGAGTCACTCTGTATCTGCTACAGTCAGTCAATCAGTTACTACTAACAGCTACAAAAGAACGAATTGACTTCCTACCTCACTATGACACACTGGTTAAAAGTGGCATGTATGAATATTATGCAAGTGAAGGACAAAATCCTTTGCGTAAGTATTCCATTTTTACTAATTATGATAAGCTATTATGTTACTCTATCCCTTGACCACATTCCTTCACTTTTTAAAAATTCTCTCATTTTACTTTGTTAGAAGACTATGACCATTCATTGTGAATTTCCTTACTTCAGCCTCTTCATCACAATATATTTATTTTTCTACCCAAGTCATCTGATAGCAGAGTAAAGATACCTCTCCTTTAAAACTAACCTAATATTAGGATCCAGTCCTTTTCAACTCATAAGAAATCTTGTACTTACACATCTTTCCATCTCCTGTATACTCTCCTCTCCTGATTTATTATTCCTGACCTCATATAGACCTCTCCCAGCTGAAAATTTTTTTTACCTTGTAAATTTGTATAGTTGAACTGCACAAGTAAGTGGTTTGTGTTTTGGTCTCCATTTCTTAATTCTTTTCACTTCTACTTCTTGCCAGCTTTTATCCTACCTTTGGATTGCTTGCTAGTGATCTTTACAAATCAGCTGATTTAGAGAGTTTATTCTCTCTGGACCCCACCAAAGTTTATAGAAAAACTTATCGACCAAAGTGGTCGATATTACTTAGATGTTCATTATAAGCATTCTTACTAAAAATATTTTTTCTCATTGCATATGCATTAAATTTTATAGGAAATTAGAAGACACAGATCAGCAAAAGATCTATGAGCATAAAGACCATCCATATCTCTAATACCAGATATAATCACCATTAACATTTTGGTGTTTATCATTTCAGACCTTTTCATATTGTTTTTTCTTTTTCTTTAGTAGTGGTCTTACATGGTACTTAACCTCTTAACCCACTTTTTGCTTAAAATGAACATTTTAATATGTATGTCAGTATATGTTCTTAGTGGTTACACACTATTTAGATGGCAATTTATTTGAACAGTGTTCTGTGACTACACATTTAGGCTGTTTCGGTTTTCTTATTGTTACAAATGACTAAATGTTCTTGTGACTATATCTTTGTTGTGCACATCCTTACCTTAAGTATGGTTCATGTTATCAGCTGCAGTAACAGAAACTACACTAAGTGCTTTATGATCATTATCTCAATCCTTAATCCTCTGTGGTAGCTGACATTAGGTAATGACCCTATTTTGCAGAAGAAACTGAGGCTGAGATTTTAGGTAACTTGCAAAAGGCCACATTGTTGAAGCCAGGATTTGAATCTTAGCAGAGGAACTTCAGAGCTTGAACTCATAACCAGTGTATTTATTACCTCTGATATTGTTCGTTACATACAAAAAAGATCTTATTTTTCCCATCTTAGTGTCTTAATCTTCTTTTACCAGCTACTACCCAATTTTTCTGTTGACAGTAAAACTTCTCAACAGTTGACTGTATTTACTGTCGGCAGTACCTTTCCTCTTCCCAATTCTTTCCCATTCTCTATGCTGTACCTATTCATTTAAGGTCTCCAGTGACTAAATCCCATGATTAATTTTCAGTTCTCATTTTACTTGAAGCATTGATACAGTTTATCACTTCTTCCTCCTTGATGTAATCTTCCATTGACTTTTGAGAGACCATACTCTGTTTTCTTTCTGCCTCACTGGCTGCCTTCTCTGTTCTCTCTCCCCACCTTCTTGTTCTTTTTTTGAGAGATAATTGACATAACTCCCTGCCTTCTTAATGTTCAAGAGCTTCTGTGTTTAGTGCTTGGCCCCTTATCTTCCCTTCCTCAGTGATCCCATCCAGTCTCATGGCTCTTAAGTGCCTTCTTCATGGCAGTGGCTCCCAAGTGGAGGTGATGAGAAATGATAATTTTTAGTTATATATTGAAAATAACGCCAGACTTATTTCCTGGATTCCAGTTTTGTCCAGCTGCCCATTTGGCATCTCTACTAGAATATCTAAGATGGGAACCCCAGTCTGCTCAATGACTGCTAACTGCACATATTTTTCCTATCCAAGTTGATTATCACGCGGTCCCTTCAGTTGCTTCTTTGTCTCATACCTTTTATTCAGTCTGTTAGAAAATTCTGTTGGCTGAGTCGTCAGCGTTTATCTAGAAATGACTGTCACCACTTCTGTTGCTAAAACCTGATCTTGAGGAACTAAGTGGCCTCTTAACTTGTCTTTCTTCATGCCTGTCCACATAGGGTTTATGAACTCAGATTGTGTTACTATTCTACTGAAAACGCTCTTGGGTCCCCATTTCACTGAGTAAAAGCATTTATAATGACCCACATGGCCTTTTCAGCTCTGCTTTGTTGCTGTTTCCACAACTCTTCTCCTTGCTTGTTCCCTTCACCCCAGGGCCAGCTGAGTTTTCAGCTTAGAGCCCTCTGCCTGGAATGTGCCTTCCCCAGATAGTTCCTGTCTCATTCCCTCACCTCAGTCAGGTCTTGTTTAATCTGTACCTTCTCAACAAAACAACTTTGATCACCCTATATAAAATTGCAGTTGTGTTCCCTCTGTGCTTTTACTGTTATTTGATCTCTTTTCTTTGCTCTTTTTTCTATCAATATACCACCTACTAACATGCTAAAGAATTTACTTATTTGTTATGATTAGATTTCATTTCCCATCTTCCTCCACTAGAATGTTAACTCCACAAGAATAGGACTTTTGTCTGTTTTTCCCTGTTCATAGACCACTGCCAGGAAAATAGTAGATGCTTAAATATTTGCATATTGAATGAATTTTAATTCTTTCTCTGGGGACAAATTTCTAAATGTGTTACCATGGAGTCAATAGATATGTTCATTTTTAAGACTTTTGCTATAGATTAATTACTTCCAGATTGGTTGTACCAGTTTTCACTCCTGCCATCATTATGTGAATATGCAAAGACTCTCATTGTTTAAACTCTTGCTTTGATTACTGTGACTTCACACTGCATTCCTGGATCTTTTATTTGTTTCCATTTCCTTTGCCTTGGTGCTTTTTCTGGTTATTCTTGACCATATGGTGGACATTACTTCAAGTCATGTTGGTTTTGTCTTTTTATACTTTTCTCTTTAGAGAACTGATCCAAGCCTTAACTGTTGCTGTCAGTGAAGCAAAAATCCTCTCTGGCTGTCTTTATTCTCTCGATTAAGCATGGTATGTGTTTCAGCTCTCTGTGGAACACCTCTCCCCACTGAGTTTGATATGGGGCAGGATAGCACATTTAAAGCTCAATTTTTGTTTCTTCCTCTCAAAATTTTCTGAAATGACCATTTATGCAGTCTTATAAAGAGTCTTATAAAGATTCAAAACCATCTTGGATTTCTTTTTCTTTCTTTTATATCTAAGCAGATACTGAATTCTACCATTTATTCCACATTTCTCTTAACTCTTTTTTCCTTGCATTTCCTACAGTGTCCTTTCTTTTCCATTTCCTACAATGTCTCCCGCTTCTCCATTTTTTAGTTATTACCCTGAGCCGGATCCTATGCATACCTGATGTGTGGTAACTTTTTTCTAATAGTTTATGAGCACAGCCATTCTGAGTTCAGAGTGTGGAAGTGCTTGCTGGGGTACTACTCACTAGTGATCACAGTGTTAGGTGGGTTATGTGTCAATGGAAGTCAGAGACATAAATTTGGTATGTTCCTCTTTTTAATTAAGAGAGTAAAAGCGGGAAATAGTTTAAGTAGTGACCTAAAGGAAAGGAGAATATTAGTTGATGCTGAGCCAGTGGTAAACTGAACATCAAGTTGGTTGCGTAGTAGGAAGTCAGTAGCAGTTCTATGTCAGTTAGGCAGACATGTTCTGCCATTTGACAAGTTTTCTCATTGTCTTCCAGCATTTGCTCTTGCAGAATTGATTGATAATTCTTTGTCTGCTACTTCTCGTAACACTGGTATTAGAAGAATACAGATCAAACTGGTAAGAAAATAGTACTATAAAGCAATTTAAGTTTACCAGAAGTAATGCAAATTCAATGGAGAAAAATTCGACAATAAACTAAAAGTATAAATAATTATATGAGGTCTCTTCATTGTTAATTTTTTCATATGCCCTTTTTCTCTGTGTATATGTACACATATGTCTGATCATAGTATATATTTTGTTTTTTGTATTTTTCTACTTTCCCTTAACAGCACATGGTTAACATTTGGTGGATGTTCTGCAATATAAAATTCCATTGCTGCAGTTTGGTTTATTGGCTGTGATATAAATTATGTAATCAGTCAACTGTTGTTGAACATTTAGATTTTTTTTCCTATGTCTTTGCCACTGTAAGGCATGCTGGCATCCATTGTTCGTACATGTACAAGCATCCATTTACAAATCTGTCTTTGTACACAGATCAGTTCCTTAAGCGAAATTCTGAGAACTGGAATTTCTGGGTTAAAGGATATGAAAAATTCTAATGTCTTTGATTCATACAGCTGAAATGCCTTTCATAAAGTTCAATTAATTTAACTTCCACCAACAGTGTATGGGTGAACCCATTGAATCACTTTTATATTTAACTCTTCATGTATTTAATGTTGATTTGACCTTTCGAGCTTACATTATTTCATAGCTTTTTGATGAAGTGCAAGGAAAACCTGCTGTTGCGGTGATAGATAATGGAAGAGGAATGACCTCTAAACAGCTTAACAACTGGGCCGTGTATAGATTATCAAAATTTACAAGGCAAGGAGACTTTGAGAGGTTAGTAAACATTACTTTTTTTGATGGGCAGATGGGTATTTTAAGGATAATTCTAATTTTGGTACACATGATACATTGTATGTATTTTGTGCTTCCTGAGGTATGTAGGAGTTAATGTACTTAGTTGAGTCCTTTGGAGCTTTTCCCCCTTTCCATTTTTTTTAATTTAATTAATTAATGAATTAATTATAATTTGCTATCATTAATGTACAATTACATGAACAGCATTATGGTTACTAGACTCCCCTTATTATCAAGACCCCACCATGTACCCCATTACAGTCACTGTCCATCTGCGTAGTAAGATGCTATAGAATCACTTCTCTGTGTTATACTGCCTTCCCCGTGTTCCCCCCCACACCTACATTATATGTGCTAATCATGATGCCCCTTGTCCCTCCCTTCACCCATCCTCCCCAGTCCCTTTCCCTTTGGTAACTGTTAGTCCATTATTGGGTTCTGTGAATCTGCTGCTGTTTTGTTCCTTCAGTTTTTGCTTTGTTCTTATACTCCACAGATGAGGGAAATCATTTGATACCTGTCTTTCTCCACCTGGCTTATTTCACTGAGCGTAATACCCACTAGTTCCATCCATGTTGTTGCAAATGGTAGGATTTGTTTTCTTATGGCTGAATAGTATTCCATTGTGTATATGTACCACATCTTCTTTATCCATTAATCTACTGATGGACACTTAGGTTTTCTCCATTTCTTGGCTATTGTAAATAGTGCTGCAATAAACATAGGGCTGCATATGTCTTTTTCAAACTGGACTGCTGCCTTCTTAGGGTAAATTCCTAGGAGTAGAATTCCTGGGTCAAATGGTATTTCTAATTTTAGTTTTTTGAGGAACCTCCATACTGCTTTCCACAATGGTTGAACTATTTTACATTCCCACCAGCACTGTAGAATGCTTCCCCTTTCTCCACAACCTCGCCAACATTTGTTGTTACTTGTCTTTTGGATGTTGGCCATCCTTACTGGTGTAAGGTGATATTTCATTGTGGTTTTAATTTGCATTTCTCTGATAATTACGGATGTG